ATCCTGTTTGGTTCTCTGAATACATGGATTAATATTTTGTGACAGTGAAGCAATTCCAAAAGTACTCTCCTACCAACAAGCCCTTCCCCTCCAAATCCCTTGTGTTTTTCCATTTCCATTCTTTAGTCTGGATTCCTACTGCACTAGTTTGAGAAATGTGGCAATTGCAACTTGCAGTTCCTCTAATGTTTCTTTTATATGGTCACACAGAAGTATTGTGAGAGGCAAGGGGTATAAGCAATCCTTCATTTACCTTAGGCCCCTTCAGCACAGCTGTATAAAATCCACATTGAACTGGATTATATGGCAGTATGGACTCAGATAATCCAATTCAAAACAGATATTGTGGATTATCTGCCTTGATATTCTGGGTTATATAGCTGTGTGGAAGGGCCCTTAGAAGGAATTCATATATCTCCCCTACCAGCTAACCATTTCCTCCATTGACAGACATTTTGCAGTCTCCATGCTTTTCCCAGTTCCATCCATATCCTCAATTACTTTTCCATTTAATAAATAATTGAACTGATTTGTAAATGAATGCATATATGACATTTCATAAACGTTGATTGATCATTATATGGCTGTGTGGAAGGGCCCGTAGTGACTCCTAATCACTGTATTGTAAAACTTACTGTTATTTTGCAAAAGGAATAAAGTTATTCCATATGACATTGCCACTGTGATAAGGAAAGTAATCTCTTTGGGGGAAGGGATCAATGAGAAGTAACTACTCATTCACAACTGTATAACTGGGATGCCCAAGTTCCTGACTCCAGGATTCTTGCATACGAGACAAATAACTATAGATTGCAATCTCAGCTATACAATGCAAGGTCTTACAAACCTAGAGAGCATCAATAAGCTACTCCTCAGCCATCCATAATTCCTGTTGGGATTCTGCATCACTTTTACCATCTGTTTATGAAGTCTAGTTTCCAAACTGAGATGAATAGCATGCTTCAGGCTTCTGCTAGGCACTTGGCATATCAGTCTTGCTTGAAGAGTGGGTGGAATTGATAACATGACACAGGTCTCAGGAAATGCAATCCATCATTTTCCTGCCCCAGGAAAAGAAAAAAAATATTTTAAGAACTCAGTGTTTGCTGCCTTTCAGAGGAAAGATATGTGAGTAACTCATTTCTTTGGTTCTCCTTCTTGCCAGTTTGCTTTTCATGGTTTCTTTCAGTTGCTGCCACCAATTTCTCTTTTATTTTTAAGTATACTTATAATATTAAAACAGAAGAAGAATCCTGTTAGATCAGGGAGCTGTCTGTTCTATATAGTTTCAGTGGCCAACCAGGTGCCAAGACATTTTTCATTCTTGGCATGAGATGAGGAAGTCTTGTGAACTGGAAAGTCTCCAATTCTGGTCAATAATGGCAGTTTTTCCAGAAAATCTGAAGTAGATGTTCTTGTCCCCTTTCTGCTACACAGCCAAAAGCAATAGGGAATCGTTGCTGGTGGCATTTCACAAGTACTAGACATGTGCGCTGAATTTGTTTCTCCCATTTCATTCATTTCTTTTGTTCCTTCGGAAGCATGGAACGGAAGGCTCCTCCCGTTATGAAAATAAGCTTGACACGAAAGCAAGGGGGAGTAGGTACCAGCTCCAAGCCTGCTTTTTGGTATCACAGCTACACTCCCGAGACAGAGATAGAGGAGAGAAGAGGGACTGCGCTCAGGGTGAAATCTAGCCAGCTCCACTGCCATTTCTTGCTACCATTTCACCCTTCAATCAGGAAACCTATCTTGTGCCACTCCTGAGGTCTCTTCATCATCGGCTGCCCTGTTACATCTGGCTCCCTTGAGCCAGAAACTAGGGTCAGACCAGTGGTGGGATCCTTGGCACGAAGCTGGGATGTGCCGCATTTACTGGGGGCTTGCTGGGGCTTGCCCTCCATCACATTTGCCAGTGGCTTTGTTGGGGCTCTATGCTGCCTTGCTTGCTGGGGCTGATCTTGCTACCATGACTGTGCAGACCCAGACAGTCCCTGGAAGGCTTGGGCACTTTCTGGGCCTGCACGCCACCCATGCACTCTCTTTCCAAGGAGAGTCAGGATTACCCATGCTGTTCTGGAACAGCTGTTCCAGGAGCTCCAGATTTATTCGCTGTGTTTAAATGTTTGTGTGCAATCCTATGCTTGGGATTTTGCAGCAGGGGGTTTCCTGTTATGGTTTGCATTTATAGGGTAAGCCACCTGTCAATTATCATTGGGTTCCCTGGTTCCACCCCCTTTCTAGGCTTTGGAGGGAAGGGAGCCTTTTCCAGTCAGTCACAGAAAGGTTAGCCAATGTATAGGATGTGTTTACTTCCCCTGTACAAAGGCTTCAACCTTTAAGAGCTCCAGGGAAAGAACGCCAGGGAAGCATTCCCACAGCTTTAAGGGTCTCCTAAGAACTCCAGGGATTCCTTCCTACAGCCTTGGGAGTTTCCAGGAAGACAGCCAACTCTAAAGAACATCCATCGCCTGTCTGGTAGGTCCTTTCAGCGCTCGAGAAGCAGTTCGGCTTGGCAGAGGAGCCCATACCAGCGAGGGTTGGATTTTAGTTAGTCTTGGGAGAAGTTAAAAAGGGGAATTTTCCTTTGAAGAAAGTTATTGAAGATAGTGCCTGTTCCCTGCAGACAAGTTTGAGAGAACTGATACTTTACCAAGAAAGCTTTACAATTCCTGTTTGATTCATTAATAAAAGACTTTGTTGTACCTTTAAGCCTTTTGAAGATTCCTTCTGTAAAGGAAGCCTCTGAGAACTTTTCCTAGGGTCCCTGGCTTCCCTCTCCCTCTGTTGTTGATTGTTGGTGTGATATTATAATTTTTTTTCACTAATTAAACAAAAAACTTGCGCCAGACATGCGAAAATGATAACAAAACGACCTCAGAACAATAACGAAACGAATACAATAACGAAATACGAAGCACTTACAAAACGTGTTGAAAAATTCGTTTTTTAAAAAAATTGCTCCAGAATGGTTCGTTATCGTTTTGTAATTGAAAAAAATAACGAATTATTAACGAATTACAAATTAACGAAACGAAACCGCCCAGCCCTATCAACTAGCTATAGGCCCAGCGGCGACAGAACACATGCCATTGTACTTCTGGTCTCTGTATGATTGTGAAAACTGTATAACAAAAGAAGCTGGTAGAAGGAGAATTAACTGATTTGAAATATGGTGCTGGAGAAGAGTTCTATGGATACAGTGGACTGCGACAAAGATAAATAAATGGGTTCAAGGACCAGTCAAGTCTCAACTGGCCTTAGAAGCCAAGATGACTTAACAGGGACTATTTTACTTTGGACATGTTATAAGACATAGTTGATTATAAAAGACAATAATGCTAGATAAAGAATAAGTTGGAAAGGATGAAGGCCACATTACAATGGATAATCTCTATTAAAGAAATCAAAGTCCTGATTTTACAAGACCTAACTTGAAGGTCTCTCATTTATAGGATCACCATAAGTTGATAGCATTTTCAAAATCAACATCCTGTCAAAAAAAAAAAGTCTTTCGTATAATCCAAACATTTTGCAGTCCTTTTTGTGAAGGTCTGATTAGGAGGAAAGTGTTTCTCTCTTGGCAACTTTCTCCATTGCCCCTCTTCTTTTTGGCAGTTTCCTTAAACAGATGGTTTGAGATGCCGTATTTAATGAGCCATCAAGATCCAAACCGTCATGGCTTTCTTTCAGTGTCTGGGTTATTCCCAAGAGCTGCTAGTGGAGAAAGGCTTGGCAATGAAATGCTTGTCTCTTTTTTATATATCCAATATATCTTCCTCATTCTTAGCATCCTTTTTACATACAGGCTACTGTCTTGCAGTCCCATTTGGATGGTCCTTCCTGCCAGCAATCTGACTGGAAGTCGCCTCCCATTCTTAACATTTATTTCCACCTCCGTGACTTGTTGAAAGGTTGAGATAGAGAGAAATTTCAGTTGACTTAACAAGATCCACAAAAGTAGTCTTTTCACACCTGCCAGGACTTGCTGCAAGAAAGCAAGCACCTCATTTGGCACACGCACAGATTTGTGACAAAGTGCATGGAAAGCAATGCTCTTATTTTAGAGTGTAGATGGCTAAGGTGTGCATAATGGAGTGAAATTCATAATGCTTTAGTCAGTGAGGTAAATAGTGCAGAAGTGTCAAGAAGTTCTGCTGATTTCAGAGCAAGAAGAAAACATAAAGCTTTGTGATATCTATATATCTACCAGTAGCAAATGTCACCTTAAGACAGTTTCTGAGAGCTGATAATCCATTGTCTCCTGGTCTCTGGAGAGTTTACAAGCATCCAACAGTAGTAGTTAATGGGTACAAATATGGTACCCATTGACCCTAACTCGTTTGGAAGAAATAATACTAACTTTTCACATATGTAGCTGTGTGTTTGTTTGTTTGTTTGTTTGTTTGTTTGTTTGTGTGTGTGTGTGTGTGTGTGTGTGTGTGTCAGTGTCAGGAGCAACTTGAGAAACTGCAATTCGCTTCTGGTCTGAGAGAATTGACTGTCTGCAAGGATGTTGCCCAGGGGACACCCAAATGTTTTAGCATCCTATGGGAAGCTTCTCTCATGTCCCCGCATGGGAAGCTGGAGCAGACAGATGGGAGCTCACCCCGCTCTCTGGATTCCAACCGCCAACATTTCAGGCACGAAGGTTTAGCCCATTGCATCACCAGGGGATCCTACATCTGTAGCTGAAAAGTGCTGCCAAACATTAATTTTGAGAGGAAAATGGGAGTTACTTGTAGCTTTTTTTTTTCTCCTAAGAAATAGTCTTCACTCATTACTTCTCATTAGCTTTATTAAAAAGTTTTTGAGGGAATTACTTTTTTCAAAACTTCAGATTTCAAAAATGCCGGTGTCTTCCATCACTTATTGTTCTTACAATCTCATTGCTGCAGCTCACCGTTTCTAAATTTATTTTTTCCCTTTTCTATTTGTCTCCCTGGCTCTTTCTGTCTCCTTTTTTCTTTCTCCCTGCTCTCCTTTCTCTGTGGATTCAGGAACATCACTGCCTTAGAATTAAGATCCTTGGAGACTGCTACTACTGTGTATCTGGGCTTCCCGAGCCTCGGCAGGACCACGCTCATTGTTGCGTTGAAATGGGACTCAGCATGATCAAAACAATCAGGTAATTTGTATTTTCTCTCCTCTTGCTTTTATTGCTGCCATCACACTGTGCCTCTATCTGCGATTCCCCAGTTTCTTATAGCTAGACTGTGGGATATCCTTAGCTTCTTCCATTCTATTTTATTGTATGCTTAGTTTATGGTTTATTAAAGGTAGATAGGCCTGTTGGAGAGCAAAGCTGGTTTGGAACATAGAATATGCCTTCTACCAAGTTACACACTCAAGAACTCATAACTTTTGGAATTGATTTAATGTAGTCATGAAATGTGGAAGTCAAAATGCAAGTGTGGAGGGATGACTGTTCAGTGGCTCTCCATATCTACAGATTTAATCATGCATTACATTCATGTTTTTAAAAAATCAAATAAGTAAACTTTGATTTTGTCATTTTACACAATAAACACTATTTTACCATAACATTGTTTTTAATTAGATTGAAACTCCAGATTTTGGTATTCATGGAGTCCTGGATTGAAACCCCAGCTATAATTGTGTGTGTGTGTGTGTAGATAGATATATATAAATATAGATATATCCCATATGAGCAGAGATAGTCCATATTATATAGATTTCCTTACTCTTTGGCGAAGCTGATTGTAGGCAAGCAGAGAGTTCAGTGAAATCCCATTCCTTCCTGTATATGAGAGATACATAGCATTATTTTGCTAAAGAAAGTCATGAAACACATTGCATTCTTGACTGATTCCCTTTGGGTATTAAGTCAAATGAAAGTAGGATGCAAAGAGTATTTCCTGCTCCACAGTTTTCTCTTTGTGTAGTAGACATTTTGGATGTTAATGACGTCTTAATTTATTTGAGCCAACATTGCTTTGGATCATACATTTTGAATTTAAAAAGAAGGAGTTTGAATTGAAAGTAATTGGCATATATCCAAAATGAGAGAAAATAACTTTCCACTTACTACTTTCTTCCAACTACACATGTTCTAGAACCAGATTCACAGAGTTGGAAGAGACATCGTGGGCCATCCAGTCCAACCCCCTGCTAAGCAGGAAAAGCACAATCAAAGCACTTCCAATTAAAGACTCATCTTCAAACTCAATAACTAGCAATGGCTGAGAAGTCTCTCCTGGATGTCTACATAGATGTCTAGTTACTTCCAGTCCTTATTGTAGGGTGCTCTAGGTTAAACCAGTGCGGTATAGACAACACAACTTAATCCAACATAGATGATCCACCATGGTGGATCAGCAATAAAGTTGGGCAATGTCACCTCCACACAGCCCGTAGCCAGGATTTCGATTCGGGGGGGGGGGGGGGGGGGCTGAGTCTGAGTGAAAGAGGGTCTACCCTAGCAAACCTTTTTTATCGTTACCCCAATACCCCCATGCATATGGGATATATTGATTATGGTGATCAGATCATGATATGAATAAACATAACAGTTTAAATAATGCACCAGTAAGGCCTTTTCGCGAACCACCATGAGAATTTCGGAGGGGGCCCCCCCCCCCCCCCCCCAGCTACATGCTTGCCTCCACATATCTCTCAGTGCTAGTTTCTGGAGAACCTAGTGGGAGGTTCAAATGTACCTATGTCCCATTTGTGGGTTCTCAATGGATTTATTCCTAGCTGTTGCACCCCAAGACTGGAAACCCCTATGACCACAGCACCACACAAGAGTCCAGAGTATAAGCAATAGTTTATTGTGAAAACACTTAAAAGTTATGAAAAAGCAGGAATACGGAAAAAAGATGTATAATCCCTAGCACTGGGTGATAACTGGATAGTAATCCAAATGTATCATGCAAATCCCAAATAATATAGTCCAGGAGTAGCCAGAAAGTCATAAGTACAGCATAAGTCCACACGCAAAAGTATATTTAGCAAAAACTTGAGCAAGAATACAAAACTGAGAACATAGAAAACTCTGCAGGATACTTAAATCCAACAAATGACAAGGCTTTACTTGAAACAGGAACCAGAGAACACAGGCCTAGCTTCTTCGCTTGAATACTACATTGCCAGAACTAACTCTTAGGTAAACAACTTGCTAATTAATAGGCAGCCATGAAGTCATTTCTTTTCCCACGAATTCTCTCCTCAGCTGTCCCATGTAAGCGGCACTCTATTTTCTGCTCTAATCTGTAAACGAAGACTTTTGTTGACCTCCATAGCTCCAAGTGTTTTTCCCTGGAATCCTTCTGTATCATTTAGCTCTTCACCTGACTCCTTATCTAATGTTGCAATATCTGGCTCCTCTCTCTGACATTGGAGCCTTGCACTTTCTGAATCAGGTCTTTCCCAGAGAAAGCCATCATTTCTTTTACTTGAATTTTCATCTCTTTGTGCCCCAGGAAATCTCACAGGAAATCCCACAATTCTCTCTAAACCATCAGCGAACCCATTAGACTCAGGCTGTACTACAACACTAGCCATTGCAGGAACCAAATGTTGAACTATATAAGTATTTTATCAAATTCAGCAAGTCTCCTTCTATCTTAAGATTAACTCAGGTCCTTTTTACACTGCTTTAAACTGGACTATATGGCAGTGTAGACTCAGATAATCCAGTTCAAAGCAGATTTGTTGTCGTTTACTCATGCAGTAGAATAATCTGGATTATATGGCAGTATAGAAGGGGCCCTAGAAAAGGTATTTTGGGATGGATCATCATGCCATATACCTTATTCTCAGCCAAGTCAGCTGTTCTTCATTATTTATATTCAAATGTTGGCAAAACATATTTTAATATCCAGCAAGTGGCATTTTGAGAAGCTTCTTCTAAAAAGCCATTAATTGCTTCAAATCACAGGCAATATGAGAAAACACCTGAGTTAAATCACTTGCCAGCACTTTAACGAATGACAATACAATTAATTTTATGAGGGAAAGCTCAGTAGATCCAATGGACCATGTAAACTTTTATATTCAAAGCTGCCTGTCTGTCTCTTTTCTTCGCTGTTTTATATTATTTTCTTTATTAACAGTAATATGTATGCAACTGGCCCATGCAATGCAATTAAGTGTTCCCACCTTTCATAACCACTTTATTGCTGCCTTAATTCTGTTTTCTCACTAGGAATGTTATCACTTAATTATGCAATGTTACCAGATACCTTCTATTTGAAATAAAATAGAATACAGCTGTGCTTTATAATCTGTATCATTCCAATCTTATCTATACTTTTCAGCTTTCCGTTCAGTGCAAAGTAGCACACAAACCTCAAAAGCCTTCCAAATTCCATACAATGTCTCAATTCTACTATTAAATTAAAATTTGAACATTTTAATTGGAGTCACAGCTGCCGTTGTATGAGAGTTGTAGTTTTACAAGGCTATTAGCATTCTCTGCTGGAAAGTGCTGTTAACTCACCAAAATATTAATCCCAGGATTCCATAGCATGGCAGTTAATATGGTGTCAAACTGTGTTAATCCTGCAAGATCTAGTGTAGATGCACCCTGAGCCATAGATACATGCTGAGCCAAACTTCCAGGAATAAGAAATGTCTACTTGCAATGAATCTTTGCAATTGTGAACCTATTGACATCGATTTTAATACCTGTTTTGTTTCTTAGGTTTGTAAGGTCAAGGACAAAGCACGATGTTGATATGAGAATTGGAATACACTCTGGATCAGTGCTCTGTGGTGTGTTGGGTCTCCGGAAGTGGCAGTTTGATGTCTGGTCCTGGGATGTAGACATTGCAAACAAACTTGAATCAGGTGGAATCCCTGGGTAAGTGTAAGTATCTGTAAGTACAGATACATTATATTTCCCATCCCACAGCTTTGCTTAGAATAATCCTTGAAGTCATCCTTCTGATTTGGTTTCTCTAAATTTTAACAATGGTGGGCATATCTGTACTTACTTACTTAGGCTATCCCTCATTGTCTGAGTATGATGACCCTTCAAGTGTTACATCTTGGCAGTGGGTCCATAGGTTGCTGTGAAGCCCTAATCTTGACCCACATGTTCTTCCACAGTGAGGGCATCAGTTTCCAGGTGAAAAGCGGTCTTGGTCTTAGCTTCAAACTCATTACCTATTGGTCAGTAGTGATCTTAATGCAGCTTTAATCTTACAATGCTTTTAGCCTTCTCTTCCAAAAAGTGGTCATGACTCACTACACATCTCAGGATTCCACAGCATTGAAACATGCCAGCTAAACGATGTTGAGCTGCATTAATTCTACTGCATGTCTCTTAGGTTGTGCCTGTAGGGCATATATCAATTGTATAGGTTCATACCTATAGTGTTCTACTTATAACCCAAAGTTGAAAATGGCTAAAATACTGGAGTGTTTTATTGTCTTTTAAGGTCTATGTCCATTTTTCTTTCTGACATTTCATATCCCTGAGCAGATTACTTTATCAGTCTGCAAACTCCTGCTGTCTGTCATTGATTCTCTGCATGTCAGAACTCTTTCTGTTGATGGAATAGTAACCTATTTTCACAAGAAGCTCTAACAGTATTTATCTTAATAATCACATCCAATAAGGCAATAGCGAACTTTTTCTGAACCATTACCACTGAGCTCTTCCCACACAACATAGCTGTAAACTTTTGCAAAAACTTTGCATTACCTTAGCCATGGGGACATATTATAAAACAGTATAGAAACCACGACTATTTAAATAGAGGTGTTATTGATTGCTTGAGTTGAAATTCATTGACTTGGAATATGAGCCTCAGTGACTCATAATGCTCACTTATCATGCAAAGGTAGCATGGGTACCTTGGCCATTCCCATTGGGTTGGTGCCATTATGGCAATGAGCCAAGCAACAGACAATCTAGGAAATGTATTTGCTTTCAATAATAAGTTGTGTTGGGGATCATGGTATGAGAATGATTCGATTTTTGCTTTGAGATTATTGTTCTATCAGGGAGATCTTTTTAATCAGGATTGTCTGTCTAAAAGATGAGCATCATGATCCAGACTATGAGGCACCAGAAGAAAAAAAATCATCCATACAAACTAGATTTAGTACCGTTAGTTTTTGTATGCCTTCAAGTCATTTCCTATTTATGAGAACCCTAAGGTAAACTTGTAAACTTTTGTTGGCAAGTTTTGTTCAATGGGAGTTTGCCATGGCCTTCCTCTGAGACTGGAGGCCCTTCCACACAGCCATATAACCTAGAATATCAAGGCAGAAAATCCCACAATATTTGCTTTGAATTGGGTTATCTGTGTCCACACTGTCATATATTCCAGTTCAAAGCAGAAAATATGGGATTTTATTCAGCTGTGTGGAATAGGCCTGAGATACTGAGGGAGACCCTGGTGGTGCAGTGGGTTAAACCGCTGAGCCGCTGAACTTGCTGACCAAAAGATCACCGGTTTGAATCTGGGGAGCGGGGTGAGCTCCTACTCTAAGCCCAGCTTCTACCAACCTAGCAGTTCAAAAACATGCAAATATAAGTAGATCAATAGATACCGCTCCAGTGGGAAGGTAACAGCTCTCCATGCAGTCATGCCAGCCTCATGACCTTGGAGGTGTCTAAGGACAACGCTGGCTCTTCAGCTTAGAAATGGAGATGAGCACCAACCCCCAGAGTCGGACACGACTAGACTTAATGTCAGGGGAAAACCTTAGTGTTGTTTGCTCAAGGTCCTAGCAGGTTTCCATAGCCAAGTAGAGGGTCAACCCTTGATCTACAGAGTTTGAATCCAAACCATAATACCATGTGTTACGGTCTCAAAATATACAGGGAAACTAAGCCTTTGATAAAGTTTTGTGAAGTCACTACATTGATAGCGAGCTGGCTGAGCCAAGAATTTAGGAAATGTGCTTTTCTGTTCTCTTCAGGTGTACAGGATGCTTTACCATCAGTTTAGCTAATGACATGGCACTTTAGGATACATACCCTGAAGGCAATGTTCACATAAAGATGACATTTGTATCGCTAATGCGAACTTTTGGTAACCTTTGCATTGGTTGCCTGTGTAGGAGAGATATGTGATCTCTCCAACCATCTGTCCAGATGCACTAGCTGATGAGTGCAAATGTCCCTTCTACCTGACATAGCTTGTATATCTCATCCAGTTTTGCAAAGCAGAATTTTCTTTGGCATAATAAGGGGGTTGTCTTTTCCAAGTAGCAATGCAGAGAGAGAAAGTAATTCTTTAAACTTTCTTCAACCAGGATTGTTGGTTTCCAAAGCTAGATATGTGCATATTCACATTAACCCCGTAGTTTGTAGTAATTGAAACTTCAACAGCTTAAACCCCCATTTCTCCCCAAATTGTGCTGCTCAGGAATTGGCATCCTCAGTAGCCAAAACGAGTTGAATGTCGATTGAAAATACCTCTTCTACAGTTTCGGTAAACCCAAGCTCTGTATTGCTCCCTACATCTGCATATTAATGAAAATCAGTGTCCCTGTTTCCTTCTCTCTATTTAATCAAACAAATTGGAACAATTTGTAACTTGAGTTTCATTAGCAGAAACCACACCAAATGAGGTTTGTAACAGCAAGATAAACCTTTGATTAATTGAACTGTGTCATGTTGTTACCTGCCTTGAGCCCCTTAGGGACAAAGATGGGATAAAAATAAAGATGATGATGATGGAGCAAGGTTTGACTTCACTTTCTCTTCCTAAATTAACCCCATCACTCCTATACCAGCTTTTTCCAACCTGCAACCACACAGGTGTTTGGAACCCAATGCTTTTAGGAAACAGTGAAGATAATACTCCAATACAATGGGAAGTTGTAGTTTGGTGAACAGTGGTTCTCATCCTTCCCAATGCCACAACTCCTTAATACAGTTCCTCAAGTTATGGTGACCTCCAGCCATAAAATTATGTTTGTTTCAGAAAATACTGAAAGTGTTTGGTGGGCATTGACCTTGAGTTTGGAGTTGTAGTTCACCTACATGCAGAGAGCACTGTGGACTTGAGTAATGGAACAGTAACGGATCTGGACCAAACTTGGCACGAATACTCAATATGCCCAAATTTGAACACTGGTGGAGTTTGGGGAAAATAGACCTTGACATTTGGGAGTTGTAGTTGCTGGGATTTATAGTTCACCTAAATCAATGAACACTCTAATCCGGACCAATGATAGAATTGGGCCAAACTTCCCACACAGAACCCCCATAACCAACAGGAAATACTGTATTTTCTGATGGTCTTTGGTGACCTCTTTGAGGACTAGTTATCTTCTGTTCTAATTTAATTACTAGTTATTATCTGTACTAATTCAACTACTTCTTCTCTGCAGGAGAATCCACATATCAAAGGCCACTTTAGATTGCTTGAATGGAGATTATAAAGTTGAAGAAGGGCACGGCAAGGAACGCAATGAGTTCTTGAGGAAGCACAACATCGAGACCTACTTGATCAAACAGCCAGAGGAGAGTTTGTTGATGCTGCCAGAAGACATTGTCAAAGAGGCAGTCACAGCTTCAGACAGAAGAAACAGTGGGGCAACGTTCACTGAAGGATCTTGGAGCCCTGAACTTCCCTTCGATAACATAGTGGGGATACAGCACGTAAGCCCAGATCGCTTTCCTAGCATCTCCTGCTACATGTGCATGCCTTACCGCATCTCCATCACATATGCTATGGAGGAAACCACTTCCACTTTAACCTTTCCTCTGACATGAACTTCAGATCATTAAACAAACCACTGCAGGCCAGATTTAACTTTTGCAAAAGAATCCAGAATGTGTCAAGTTCTCCTTCCATCTCCCTTCTAAAATTAAATGCTACACACAGCAGAGTGTTAATTGAATCAGAACTTCAGTCAAGTTCATCCAGCATTAAAAGACCCAAGAGCAGCATAAATTGCTGCAGGCCATCATGAAGCATCTTGAAATGCGGTTTATTTTCAGTACAAATGAATTCAGGCCAGCTTCTATTCTCACAAGTAGCAGATGAGGGGAATGATTTGCGATTGGGTCATAACCCTTTTAAGTTGCAGATATATGGCCATATGCAGAGATAAAAGTAGATATAGATTTCTCTTCACATAAAAAAATAATACTAGGCTAGAATTCTTATTTCCTAATACTGTTCTGTATGCAGGTATATAATGTGAAGCAATACAGTGAAGACACAGGTTCATTATGGCACTTGCTTTATATAAGAACTAGACTTTACCCAATAGTGCACAATTTTTATTCCAACCAAGAGTATTTCAAAGTACAACCATGATTTTTATTTTATTTTATTTTGTATTTGGTCAGTAGTGATCCTTCCACCCATGGCACATCTCAGTGCATAATGTATACATAGCCTAGATTTAGGCCCCATCTACACTGCCATTGTAATGCAGATTGAACTGGATTATATGGCAATGTAAATTCATGTAATCCAATTCACTGGAGTTCAATCCGCATTACTGTATGTGATTGACCATATAATGCAGTTCAAACAGTGTAGATGAGGCCTTGGTCTTATTGAGATGATGACATCCAATTGCTTCCCCAACTTTGCACCCTCCAGAATTTTGGAAACGGTAGTTCAAAAAGGTAAATTTCACAGACTTTGAGAGTAATCAAAAGATAAGCCTTTCCTCTAGGAAACCAGTTAGCTAAATGGATACTAGTCAGAGGGCAGGGAACAATGGAAAGGAGGGAGATCTGTGCATTTCTCTAAGGTGGCATCATTCAGAAAATAAATATAGCACCATATTTTCCATTTTAAAACCTTCATTGCTCCATAAGGTGTATTTGAATCACACAGTTTTCCGGTGGTTTGTAGTGGTGTGGATTCCAATTGCACCCCTCCTTTTGTGGAGAGGAAGGAAAAGTTTGCAATTAAGATCTGTAATTTAAAGTCCATAGTTTTCAAGAAGGAATAATAAATTGAAGGCAGAGCATGAGACTTCTTTGCAAATGGCTACAATTCTATCATTTCTTTCTCTTGTTTAAGGGATTGTGGCTTGCAGGTTGTCTAGATTTTGTGGTGGTAGTTGGTAATTGACTATCAGCTCCTTATAGTTGTATTCCAGGCATGGGCAATCTTCGGCCCTCCAAGTGTTTCAGACCGGCTCTTAGGAATTGTGGGAGTTGGGAAGTCCAAAACACCCGGAGGAATGACGTTTGCTCATGTGTGTTGTGAATGATAACCATCAGACTTGCAGGGCAAATTAAGTAACTGAAGATGAGAACAATGTCAACATCAAGTGGAATAATTCATTCTGATTTCACCCTTTTTCTTCTTCCTTTCAATGGCACTGTAATACCTCTCCAAACATTTAACATCCAACTGTAGTTTTTATGTGGATTCAGTAGGCTTCCTTCCAGCTAGAATCCAAGGCTAGTTTGCTCTAGGTTTCTTTTTTTTCCTTTGTGGAAATCTATGAAACTCAGAGCTATCCTCCAACACCAGGATATTGATTCTCTTCCTATGGGCTTTCTTCACTAACCAGCTTTCACAATGATGCACAGAAATAGGAAATGCTATGGCAATGGTTATACTAACTTAGCATTCAATTACATATCTTTATACTTGAGAATTTTATCTAGTTCCTTTATAGCTGCCCTTCAAAGTCAATCTCCTTATGATTTCTTGGCCAGACTTTCCAATTCTGATTTATGACTTAGACAAAGTAGAGGAAATCTTTGATTGTTTCTGTCATCGCTGTTTAATTTAAAGTTTCATAAAGCATCTACATACAAATACTGGGAGAAAACTATCAAAAATTCTCACTTTTGTATTAGTTTTCATAGCTGGGTAGTCTGGGCATTAAGATATCCCCCTTTTTTTTGCTAGAAAATTAATACCAGTAATGGTGAATATTCTATCCATCCTTAAACCACACTGTGCAATCACACCCTGTAAAAGGGTGTATCCTCTCTGCACAATTACAGAGGTTTGATACCATTTTAAGTATTATGGCTCCATCCTATGGAATTTTGGAGTGTGCAATTTAGTAAAGGATTCGGAGATCCTTAGCCCACTACCCCATATAAAGCTTCTAAAGCACCCTGCTTATCTATCTATACAATCTGATTGAATTCTCAGTCCATCTTTTTTAAGGGTGTCTTGGTGTCTTTTCAATAGTCACCAAACTCCAAATCCAGATTTACATAGAATGGATCCATGGCACTTAAAGTGGTGTGAAACTGCTATAACTGCAGTGTGGATGTTCTCCACGACTCTAGTGGGCCAGTTTTTCAAGAGTCTATAAGTGGGCTTGTCAATAATTGGGCTGGGTCCTCATCTAGCTTTTAATTTCTGTCATTGTTGTAGTAAATTACCTGTTGAGTTCCATAAAGACAAGACGGAAAGACTGATGAAAGTAGAAGCTGCAAGCCAATTAACTGTAAGGGCTACTCACCCCATGGACTGTTTCTAAGTAAGGAAACAGAGTAGACTGGTTTTCTGGAGTCTGTCTGGTTGTAGATGGTGCAGGTGTGGAAGGCAATGCTCTACTTGTCCTAATGGCCAAGCCTTCATGGCTGAAAGTTCAATAGAACACTCTCCCTGCAGACATCAGACAGGCGCCCTCCCTCATGTCCTTCCGAAAAAGCCTTAAGACATGGCTGTTCGAGAAGGCATTCAATTAAGTGCTATAATAATGCGGTAAAGATGATCGGAATGGAATAAGGAATATGAGATTGGTTATGATTCCACTATGAGACGAAGCGGATTTTTAGGGTAGTTTTTGTAATTGTTATGTAGTTTATATGCTGTTGTAATTGCCTTTTGTAAATTGTCTTTTATATGTGTGTACACCGCCATGAGTCGCCCTGAAGGGCTGAGAATGGCGGTTAATAAATGCATCAAATAAATAAATAAATAAATAAATAGTTTGTTCATTTCCTTAGAACAGGACTGGAGAGGCTCTGAAGATGAATCTGGCTTCAGTGGGGTCCTCATCCAGCCATCTGGTGCTCCCCAAATGGCAATGTTGCCTTTAGCACAAAACTATTGCGTGATGGTTTCCCAGTCATGTAAGATTGAGGGATCCACAGAATTGGAAGGATTTCTAGGTGAAGAAGTACAAAACAAGTCATTTTGTACAGGGAAGGATGAAAGTCAGTGCCACAGCATGCAAAAATAGAAAACTAGGGAGACAGTGGAGGTGAAACAACGAAGATGACTGACCCGAATCCTTAAAACAGCTACAGAAGTTGATCTTGGGACCTCAACTTTCAGACTCTCCCAACCAGATAAAGGGTTTTAATCCATCTATGGGAGTTGGGGTTAAAAAGATAAGAAAGAAAAAGATTTTCCAGACTCAGGAGCATTCCACAGTGTCACCTTATGTTGTTGGTGAGATTTTTAAACTCATAGTTTAAATAACATCAATAGGCAGTTCAAATAAGACTCCTCCTTTTGCTTCAGGGACTGTAAGGATCTGGGAGGTGTTTTGTTTGCTTCAGCTGCAGTACAAAATCCCTTGTGAAGGCTGTCTGGTTACAAAAATTATATAAGAAAAGGTTAAAGTGCCCTAAGATACCAGCTTTTCCTTTGCATTCGGAAGACTGATGAGTCACAGTGAAGGAAGATGGGCCGGAGTTACCTTCCTTTTGCATTGGTGAGATCCCTAATGACATAATATCTCATTTCTAGACAGACTTAGTCCTTCTTGTCCAAAATGTCCACATAACTTATGCTTAGACCTTTATCTCACAGAGATGTTGCTTTGCCAGCTGCCCCTTTGCATCTTAGGCATTTTGCTGTGGAGTATACATCCCCCACATGTCAGTGGCCTTGTGTATATGTGTGTATTTCCCAAGCATGTTGTGTTATTCTGTAAGTCTTTCTGCATTTTAGGATGCACTACCTGGATGTTGTGATAGCAAATGTATTTTTGTAGGTATTTATTTATCATGTCAGAAGCAAATTGTGAATACAACAACAACAACAACAACAACAACAACAACAACATACTTTATTTATATTCTGCTCCATCTCCCCAAGGGGATCCAGAGCAGATTACAGAACATATATATGGCAAACATTCAATGCTGTTATACAATAAACAAGGACAGAGAATACATAAACAGAGGCATACTTTCCCATCTTTTCCACCTCCGGCATCTGGAGGCTGTGCTTGACTCTGGCCACAGGGTGGTGCTGTCACTCCACTTTTCATGTGGAGAAAGCTTTGTTGTAGATAGACGTCCTTCCAATCAAATTGCAGCATGTTCTTTTGGGCACCTTTTTATTACCTCCCCTTTTTATTATATACTCACATTATTGTTTTCGATCTGCTTGGTGGACAGAAGCTGGGCCGATGGTGGGAACTCACCCCAACCCTTGAACTGCCAACATTTCTATCAGCAAAATTTTCTACAGCTTCCGGTTTAACCCGCTATGCTAAAGCTTGGACCTTATAATGCACACAAAAACCACAAAGTTAAAAGCTTGGCATTGTACTAAATGTCCTTTGACCAGTAGCTGGCCACTTGGAGTGCCTCTGGTGTGGCTGCAAGAAGATCCTCCATTGTGTATATGGCAGGGCTCAAACTGCATTGTAGTAAGTGGTCTGTGGCTTGCTCTTCTCCACATTTGTATATTGTGGACTCCACTTTGT